AACGTGAATCATAGCTTTCTTCGTGCCTCTGGACACACATCACTGTCACATACCCGGGATAAGAGAGAGCCGTTACCTCATCTAACGTTAATCCAAAAGACCACCGGGGAGATAAATTAAATACCCAATGAGCTCAATTTAAAGCACACTGAGCCGCTGAGCTTCTTTATCGTTTTAATTAACGATCTGTGGCAGTGGATTACGACTTACAACCGTCTCTAATAAAAACTTATTTGGAAATATAAGATCACTCACCCACACAACCCACTAGCCACGGTTAGCTAATAAACGGGCTGGTTAGCCAAACTAAGCCCGCGCCGGGATGTCCCTAACGGGCTGGTGACGGCTCCGCTACCGTTAGCCTTTGCTGCTAGCCAGTCCAGGGCTTGCCACGGCGTGCTATCACACAGGGTATTTAACGTTGAGTAATGCTACCCGGAGGCGCTGTATAGTTGATATCAGCGGGGCAACAAAGAGATGGCTTTTCACTCTAAAAACAGGCAGCCAACATTGCTGCTACTCGCCTTGCTCAAACAGCTTGTATCAGGGTTTCATCCTCTTTCTTCATCTACGTTAGCTAGCTAGTTAACCTACCACACCATTAGCTTACGTTAGCTCGCTGTTGCTAGCGTAGCAAACAGCAGCTGGCTGTCAGAACCATAACGCTCAACCGGGAAAAAGGTGACAAAGACCTTACTGTTAGTGGTGGACTCGGAGAAATCCTTATTTTATGTTCATTCATGAACGGCGGACGAGATGGACACGGGTGTAGTGCCTGGGAGACACACAACGAACACTGTGAAGAAAAGATTTGTAGTACACGCCCTTGACGACGAGGATTGGAGTCCACGTTTTCTCCGTAACCGATTTCTCTAAACGATTGGACAGAGCCGGACCTCAAACTAATCGAACACGAAGGTGATTGGTTTATGTCTGGGTATTACGTTGTTTATGAATGTGTTCACGGTAGGTGCGCTTCAGTTTGTCTGCGGCGCCGCGGGAACGGACTTAAGTCTAGACATAAAAAAATAAGCACATATCCAGCATGTGGTGATCTATTGTTACCCCAACAAAGGAGTGAACTGAGCTATTTCCTCCTATGTCCCCCCTACTTTATATATATATTATAATTATTATTATATAGCCTTATTCTCCTATTACAATCATGCTATAATGCTGTGATTTTAATTAAAAAAAAAAACCCTGCAAGAAACCAGAAAAATTAGTCTTTGAGGCAAGAGTACAATATAAATATAGGGTTTTCATATATAAGATTTTAATAGAATTAGGTACATGAAGCAATGAGACATGTGAATTGCAGTATATCAAATAGATACCCTAGACAGAAAACATTTCTAAATTGCTGGGTGGCACGTAGAGCTCAACCAACATTATCAGCTTATATTCATCTTTCACAGATATATATTGTATCGCTACACAGGTAAAAGTATTTGAAAAGTATTTCCCGAGTTCTTATTTTTTGTATGATTGTCACAATTTTATGTTTCAGATCGTCTGACAAACCAATATTAGACATAGATAACACAAGTAATCATAAAATACAGTTTTTAAATTTATTAAGGGAAAAGAGTTATCCAAACCTACCTGACCTTTCATGAAAAAAGGGCCCCAATAAACTGTAAAACTGGTTGTGCCGCCTTTGGAAGCAGTCAGGCGTTCGCAGTGACTAACAATGAGTCTTTCACATTGCTGTGGAAGAATTTTGGCCCACTTTTCTTTTTAGACTTGTTTTCTTCTTTTTTGTGCCATTGATGGTTGAACTTGTTGGTGTTGGTTCTCTTTCAGCATTTTCTGGTAGAGATCAGAATTAATGATTCCATCCTAAAGCAGCAAAGCAGCCCCAGACCATTACACTACCACTGCCATGTTTGACTGTTGGTATGATGTTCTTTTTATGTACTGATACTGTGTTACTTTTACCCTAAACAAACCTTCCAACAAATTCAACTTTTGTCTCAAAACTCCACGGAATATTTTCCCAAAAAATCTTGGGGATGATCAAGATGTTTTTTTCTTGGCAAATGAGAGAAAGAGCCTTTGTGTTCTTTTGGGTTAGCTGTGGGTTTTTTGTATCTCTCTGATGGATACCATTTTTGCCCAGTCTCTTTCTTATTGTTGAATCATGAACTCTGAACGTAAGTGGGACAAGTGAGGCCTGCAGTTCCTTAATTGACGTTCTGGGTTCTTTTGTGGCCTGGATGAGTTGCCGATGTGCTCTTGGAGTAATTTTGGTAGGCTGGCCACTCCTGGGAAGGTTCACCATTATTCCAAGCTTGCTCCGATTGTGGATGATGGCTCTCACTGTGTTTGACTGGAGTCCCAAACCCTTAGAAATGGCAATACCATTGTAACCCTTTCTAGTCTGAGGGATGTCAATGACTTTGTTTCTCGTCTGTTCCTGAGTTTCTTTATACTGTAATAATAATAACTGTGGAATGGTGTGTAGTTTTTAAGGTCTTATAAGCTACTTCACTTTGTCATACAGGTTTTATATAAGTGGTGTCTTGGTTCAACAGGTCTGCCAGTAATCAGGCCTTGGTATAGGTAATGAAATTGATGTTAGCTCAAAAAAATGTGGTTAATCACAGTTAATTAATGACTTAACAAGACAGGCAATAACTTTTTCACATAGGACCAGGTAGGTTTGGATAGCTCTTTTGCCTTAACAAATGAAATCATAATTTAAATATTGCATTTTATATTTTCTCAGGTTATCTTTGTCTAATATTACATTTTGCTTGATGATTGGAAACTTCCAGTGGAACAAGTATATAAAAAAATAAGAAATAAGAAATGGGGCAAATACCTTGTCCTGACACTGCTGAGATGAAAACCTTTTCTTTACAGAACATAAAGAAGAAGAAAAAAAGATGTTTGTGGTCATTTAGAAAAAAAAAGTCACATAGTTTGTTCAGCAGAATAGCTCCAGCGTCATTATTCAAGATCTTCATTATTTAAGATTAGATCTCTCTGCAGTACATGTAGCAGAGTAGACAGCTGAGCAGTGGTGATACAGAGTCAAGTTCTGCTCTTAAATTAGCTTGTTAACTATTTTTTAAAATACATTGAGTCCATATAGAGTCCAGCTTTTTCCCATTCGCACATGTACAGAAGCAAAAGTCAAATCAGATAAAAATTAAAAACATTAATAATCAGAAATTTTAGTCCCTAAAACTTTGATTCACTATTGACCTAAGAAAAATCCACCTGCCTCTATGTTGTAGTAGTTAACAAATTTGCCTTACATGTGAAAGATCCCTGTCTTGAGATCGCAAAGGGAAATAAAACCAGCCTCAGGATATCAGAGGCTTGTGTGTCCCTCATGCTGGCCCAGATAAATCGGAGGGTGGCATCAGGGAGGGTGTAAAACTGCCAAATCAAACATGCAGATCTTTGCGGTGAATAGCTAAAAGTACCTCTAAAAGTATCTCGGACTATAATTAAATTTTTTTTTTTAAATACTCATAAGTATGAATTTATGATTTAACATCAAAGTCATATAGAACTCTTTAGAAGAAAAATACTAACCACACATCACAAGTCTGACACTTTTAAGCTACAGGGCAATTTGTTCAATAATAATAATAATACACAAATATATACACACATGCACCATAAAAACAGAAGTGAAGCTTGATTTACCGCATGAATTTACTATAGACACAGTAGATGTTTTTAAGAAATGTTCAGATTTTTTCTTCTTTACTGCAACAATGCTTGAACTGAATTGTAGGCGAAAAAATAGATAGTTTTCTTTGCTTATCTGCAAATCTCTCTATCTCTCTAAAACAGCATCTCTACCCTTCACCCTGTCAGCCTGGAGGAGTCATTAATGCGCACTTTTCCCTGAAAACATAACAATAATGTTACACATAAATGAAAAAAGATACAGAAAAAATGTGCCAAGCAAAATGTTCTTGAGTTTAGTTTTCCATCTAATAATGACTATGTGAAAGGTGCTGTACATCTTCCATCCATTTTCTCAGCGATAAAGAAGAGAGCAGCTTGCAATATCCAGCTGCAGACTGAATATGCTGCAAACTCTTATTGTTAAAGCATAAGTACCTTAATAACAAAAGCCCGTACTCTGGTAGATATGTGTTTATCTATTGCAATAAAACAAGAGGAATACTCTACATAGATCTTTAAAAGGATCTGCCTTCCGTATTTCTAAACCACAGTCATTTAAGTTTAACACTTAAACCCCATAGGTAAAAAGGTAACACATACACACAAAAAATTATTAGAAATTTTACAAAATGGCTGGGATTTTTTTGCATGTGCTACCTTTTTACTTTACGTTTTTAACAATGGAAAGTAACCTACTATTTATTTGAATTATACCTATAATAGTTAAGGTGTACAGTATTGTCAAGACTATTATAATAGCAGCGCATGTGGTGTCTTTTGCATACACTAAATATACACAGTGAAATTGTTACTCGGTGTACTTTTCAAAAACAGTAAAACAAGTTGGATTTCAGGAAAGTGGCCTCTTCCTTTAAGGGGCAATTTTCCAGACAATACTTATTTTTGCTATTATGAAGCGGAGTAAATACAGCAGAAATCATCTGACCCTGAACCATGCTTGCTTTAGGCTCATACTTGCCATGATGCACTTTCTTCTACGCTCCTCTTTTATACTCCTGATACATTTACCTTTGTCCTCTCTCCCATAGTTTGTCTTTCTTCTTCTCTATGCTCTTTCTCTCTTCTCATCTCCCAAGCCAGTGACCCTAGATGACTGCCCCTCCTTTAGGCTGGTTTGCTTGCTCACAGGGGATCGTCTGATTGTTGAGGTTTTTTCTCTAATATTGTAGGGTCTTTTCCTTATAGTGTAAAGCACCTTTAGGCCACTGTTTTTGTGAATTGGTGCTATATAAATCAATTTAAAAGGAATTGAATGACTCGAAGGTAATTTCAAATCTTTGTAATCTTATTGCAATCACTAAGACCACCTTCTTCTCTCAGGTACTCACTGGTGTTGGAGCTGTAGCTATAGCCTGGAGTGGTGGGTGGTGGTGACTCTGAATCCACAGAAGCTGTATCTTCATCCTGGGAGCAGCCTGCTTGGATGGCCCGCAGGTAGCTATGGCTGCGCGACCGGAAGCATGTAGGCGCAGGCAGATCCAGAGCCTCCACAGCCTGCGATTCCCCCTCACAGTACGGTACAGAGTGCCCACAGCCCTGCCCGCATACCTGAAAGAACGTGTGCAGACTCACACGCTAAGGGCAGAGGGCAGACTCATAAACATGCATTAAACAGACCTATGCTTATGATGGAAAAACTGCTCAGATATAAAAATCTTACTAAAGTAAAACCAAAGCATCAACAGCAAATGAAGCCAAAAGAGATGCGGTAAAAATGTCCCTGTGGTCGTGTGAGGAGTTTCCTAAAACTGCTTTATACATTCAAGTATTTTATGCAGTGGTTTTAAAACTAGGTCTTGGGTGTCATCCAAAGACTAACAAAACAAATCTGTGGGGTTGTGAGATGAGTGATGGGGTTGGAAATAAAAATGTGGAAATTTGAAGTGTGTGGGCAGCAGTCTAAAAGTCTATACTAAGTAATAAAGCTGTAGGATACTTTAAAGAGATATGGCATTTTTAACATCTGTGTTCAGTGGTATAAAAATTGAACACACCTAAAACCTAGAACCAGGTTAATCGTTTTGTGCTTGCCTCAGGGTCAGTATGAAAGTAAATCACAATGCATTGTCTGAGTTGCCTAAAATAGCTTTCATTGTTGCATGGATTTGTGTTGTCACTGCACGATGGGAAAAAGCATTGACATCCGGCAGCAACTGAAATGTTTGATCAAGCGACATAAAAAGAAGCAGAAACAAGCATCAGCAGTTATTTTTATATTTGGCATTTCAGGACCAAATACGAAAGTGTTGTGGGTGGCATATAAACAAGAAAAATTAGGCCTGCTCATTCCAAAAGCTGTGCATGAGTACCAAGAAATCCTTTAGGTCCGACTGACTTTACCTCTGGCCTAAATCGAGTCTCTCTATCATTAATATTAAACATTTCATTTCCAAAGATAGTGATGCCATTCCTTCTCTATGAAAGGTATTTTTACCTCCAATCCTGCTGATGAAGATGTACAACAAGCTCCCTCAGCTTTTTACTGAGTCATATCTTCCACTCTGAAATTCTGCAAACACTCTGAGGCATCATTTTGATTCGTCAAGTTTATTCCCGACTGGTTTATTCATAAACCATCTCTGCAGTCTTATAGACATTCATTTAAATATTCTCTCACAGTAGCTTCAAAATGTAAAGGTTGTGGCAGTCTATTTTATATACACGGGTTCTTGAAGTCAATCAAATTTATGCAATTTTAGAAATTTTAGAAGGTATGTATGCTTTAAATATTGTTGCATTAAATCCAGCTTTAAATCTTTCCTTTATTAAATTAATATTTTAACTGTTTTCAAAAGACGATTGTTGGGTTTTTTGCAGTTTGTGATGCAGCGCTTTCGATTATTTTGTACACTGCTCACTTAAATAAAACAGCAAAAACTACTTCTCTGTGGGAACTTATTAATAAAAGACCCAATTCAAACAGACTGATTAAAATTATCTTTGTCAATTATAACAACAATAAATAATAAAGAGATCATAGACATACCTGAGTGCCCGAGCCTCTGCCCAGTGTGCCAGAGCATTGGCTGAAATCATTGTTCCTGTGGCGTGGAGGGGCCTCTAAAGGACTCACCAGGTAGTCTAAGTTATCAAGGCTCCGATTAGTGGACAGCTCTTTCAGGGACGGCAGGGTGCTGTGGAAGTGAACGTAATAATCAGCCTCTCAGAAGTCAGAGCCTGGAATAAGTAAGGGGCTGTGTTTAATTGATGATATCCAGGAGTATCCTAAACCAGGGAAATGTTCCCCTGGGTTTTTTCAAATTAAACACGACTGAGATGTGTGGATAGTGATGTGTACTAGTGCTTAAATAGCAGTACAGAGGAAATAACGATACAAGAGCAAAACTGCTAAATAGAATTTGAGAGATTTGAATTTCAGTTTATTTAAAAAAAAAAAAATCCTCTGTTCTGCCTTGCCGAGTTGGCGCCTGGTGTTAGTGAAAATGTGTGTGCAATAAGCAACAGGGTGTGCTGGAGTGATTTTCATGGAAAGTTTACATATTATGAAATCAGGACTTGAGAAAGTGGGTAAAAGTACTAACACGCCACTCAGGGTACCTGCAAGGTGAAAGATGGAACTGTGGGTGGAGAGGAAAATTACTGGCAGGGTTAGGCAAAAAAAGTGATGGAAAACAGTGGAAGGATCACTTAGGGTGGTTAGGGCCACACTGCCTGCCTCTAGGTTACACTGACCTCAGATGCTGCATAGAGCACGCACTTTGTAGAGGAGACCACAGATAATCCTCCCGCATGAGAGCGTAGCAACGAGGCCTGTCCGTTTGGATGTAGAGGTAAAACACATGGCAACAAGTTCACCGACTGCTTTTGCAGCACATAAAAATGGAATGTATATAGTTTCTTGTCCCCTTTCCTTAGACTGCATCTTTATCTCCAATGTATATCTTCTATGATCTTGTTTTGACCAAGTACTTTTGCACACACTGACATTTATTCATGACAGGATGCTGCCACCTGCTGACTACCTTTGGAGGCATGAGAAAAATACCCCTATAGCAAATACCCCTTCAATGCCTGTTTATATTTTAATGGATGTAATGTAAAAGGGCACAAAATCAACAGTGGCAAAACAATGAGCATGATAAACAAGGTCATATTTTGACTCACTACACTGTGGGACTCACTTGCGTGGCGTCGGTGGCGGCTGCTGCTCACTCAGTGACTGCTGGGTGGCTTTCATGTAGCTCAGGCGACGAGCTGCAGATTTGGGCGAAGGTTTGGGGCTTCCTTCTGAGTCATCACTGTCCTCTACGTCTCCCATAGCTTTGACATAACTGCCACTGCGCATCCTTCGACAAGGGATCTCAGTTCCTTTGGTCTTTCCATGACCCAAAGTTCCTGCCCAGTCGCCCAGGGGGACCTGGATTATGCAAACAAATGCTTTGTGAAAAACTTTAAAATACAGGATAATACTGTATCCCTGCTGGCATTTCCTAGTATTTCGCAATATGATTGTGAGGATGTGCAGCAATGGCTTAAAAAAGGTGATATGATTGTCACGACTTGTGAGAAACTCTGCAAATGTGACAATAAAGATTCCCGGTGCTCAAACATTTAAAAAAACAAGACATACACAGAGAAATTATAAACAGATCCATGCAAACTTCCAAAAAATGATGATGGAGATGAATACTCACAAGCCCTCCTACCTGAAGGAACTGTTGTGCCAAGTCTTGGTGGCATGACTTTGATTTAAGCATGGTCCTGTTGACTGTAGCAGAGCCCTTCTGCAACACCTGCCTAGCCTGGGTAAGTGTGAGAGTGGACCAAGAGCCCCTCTTCACCAGTGTATCGTCCTTGCTTCCCCTAGTTCTTTCTTCCTCTTCCTTGGATCCTACTTGTGTTGCTGGGCATGCCAGGAACTTGAGGTCACTGCTGCTTTTGGAGGTCTTGAGAGTATGTGCAGAAATTGTATTATAGCCCTGTGGAATATGTCTTGGAGGGGCCTGGCTGTCTGACACCGCTCTGCCAAGAGTCATCATGCTCAGTGGGTTGCGGTAACCTACAGCTATAGTGCCAGCTTTGGTAGTGTCAGTGTCCAGGGCATCATCTGAGCCCCAGAGGCCTAGTGTACTAGGTCTAGGTCTCTGCTTTTGCCCTTCAGTCTTAGCCCTGTCTTTACTTTTGCTCCTGCGGGTTGGTCTACCACTATCTTCACCACTTCCTGTAGTCCCAGTCATTCCTCCTGCAGAGCGCCCATTTAAGCTACCCTTGATTGCAGAGTTTTCCAAGGACTGAGACTTGGCAAACAGCTTTTGCACAGAATGCATCAGGTGGCGTATGCGTCCTGGGCTCTCACTGCGTTGCTTTGACATACGGCCTCTGTGGAACTGCAGTGTACTGAAGCCATCACGCTGTAGGGGCAGGTGCCTCTCTAGCTGATCCAGTAGGCTGGAAGGTAACCGGTTCATCTTTGCTGCTGCTGCAGACGAGATAGTGGCCGATCCACTGGTGATCATAGGGGCACCAGTCAGGCCCAGACCCAAGCCCATACCCATAGACAAGGATGTGGATAGTGCCCCTGCCCTGCTCCCCTGCCCAACTCCACCACCAGTAGCCATGCAGGCCTGGGAGCAGTCAACCTGGTCAGTCTGAGAGGTAAAATGCAGACGAGGGAAAGTGCTGCTGTTGGACATCTGGCTGAAAGGCAGCAAGCAGTCAGGAGTCAAGGTGGTGGGGCTGGTGGGAGGGCACTGGTGGAGATGGGGGTCCAGAGTGCCATAGTGGTTTATAGTAGGGCTCAACAGAAAGGAGCTGTGAGGGTCAGAGGTCAAAGGATACAGAGGCTTCTGGGAACAGCCCGCTGGTTCACACGAGTCAGACAGGTGACGACTGCGGTTGGCTCCTAACCCTTTCATGGTGGCTGAGGTATTGTCCTTAAAACATGTCTCCAATTAGCGCAGGTCTACTGACCTGCTGGGCCCATTCTGCAATGCAGAAAAATGAAACACAGAGAAAACATCCGATTAAACAATAGAAATTCAAGTCTCTATGCTGATACTCAGTACATGCAGTCTGTTAATGAAAAGAGCAAATACAAACATGTCAAGACTTCAGGGCACATTTATGCCATATTTTTGTTACTTCCATTGACTGACTAGCTTTTCTTTCTTCTTTTCTTTTCTTTTTAAAACTTTTTTAAGCTGCCCTTTCTAAAAGTAATGTTTCATTTTCTTTTTAAAATGTACATTCCCATTCTAGGGATTGCTGACAGTCCACCAAGCCATTTGTGAACAATTTTAAGCTTCATAAAAGCATAGAAGTAACTCTACATTCCCATATTTAAAGCTAATGACCAAATTAGAGTTGGAGCACAATTAGAAGTGTTAATCCCTCTGTGTCCTTGGATTATCAGAGGAGTAACTGAAAAAAAAATGTATGGTGCATTTCACAGAAGAAACACAACAATGAAAATAATGTGGAAAGGAGATCTACTGTCCTCTACAGCACTGTAAGTTCCTGCATACTGTAAGTTGATTAAAACAACACACCACTAGGTGGAGCACCAGTAGCAAGTGCCTACATAACAGTGTGTTGCTTGAGGGGAAATTTACACACACATTTTGTATTTGGCTCTTAAAGTACACTTCAAATTGAATATATCAAACTTTAACGAAGTATATGTGTATGAAATATTAAAACAATCCTACTACGCGATAGAAAATTTATTGCCATTTAAACGCTCTGAACACTTTAGAAGCAGTTTTCCTTCAATCACTGTCTCTATTATTCTGCCGCTGAATACATAAGTGCAATAGAGCCTCAAGATTGAAAAAACAAAAGACAGTAAATCACATATTATTCACAGGGAATAGAAGAAGCTATTCAGCTTACTGTATGAATTGTTTCAGCAAAGCAGGAAACTAGACAGCCAAGGGCCCAATATAAGACATCATTATGATGTACAGCCAGAAAATACTACACTGACAGTGCATAGGAGAACGATTTTGTGACTCATACATGTAAATGAGCTTTATATTTAAGAAGCACCATTTGTCTCCAAAGCAGGAAATAAACCCTCATTTCCACAAATCATTTTTGGTCCTTTGCCATCCTCTCAAATCTACTTACTGTACTAGGAATTGTGATTCTTTCTTTTCTAACTAAAGGGAACAATAAATCTTCCCTAAAGCTCACTAAAAGAAGAATTTTGAGACAAAGCAAATATTTTGCGGTTGCACTTCAGAGGAAACTATATTGGGTACAAGCGGAAATAAACACAGAGAGCAATCTGAAATAAAACTTCACTCTAATGCCCATGTCACAGCTATAACCAGCAAACTGACAGGGGATGACAGCTCTGATGTGTCGCTAATGGCTGCTTTTTCACTGCCTTTTTGGGGTAACACTAAATCTAATGTAGCCTCCTCGTCAATAATAGACACCACAGTTTCCAGTGCAACAACGATAATTTTAACACAGCACTTCATCATCTATTGCATAAGATGTATCTCTGTCATAAAGTGCCTCAGCAACACATCAGCAGGATGACCATAAGCAGAAAAACAGACACACAATGGAGAGCAAATCAAGGAAAGAGAGATATTTGAGTGTGACTGTCACGTGTGTCTTCTATCACAGGTTTATTCATCCTCAAAGCTCACTATGAAAAGACAGTAATATTGCATCAAGGTTATGAAAACTCATAATTCACAAAGCAGAAATCCATGTTGCATTAAATTCGCTCCAACAGATGCTGTCTGTATCAGAGTGGAGTGACTCACCGATCAGTCAATGGTAAGAGCCCTCTCCCACAGCAAGCATGAAATCTTGCCTGGGAGCTGAATGCAGAATGTTAACTGCACACATTTTCATTTTGCTGTGTTGGTTTGTCACTTCTTACATCTCTCCGACCTCCCATACACAATTTACAGTGAGGGAGCAGCCACTTATCTGAGTCAGTGTTCCTGGACGGGCGCAGCAGTGTGCTGACAAATACACCAGCGTTTTACAACGGCGCAGGCTGCTGTAATTCATTCGCCTGAGCTGACTGTAGCCCCACGTGTTCGCGTCCTGTAGGTGCCACTGCTGACAAACTGACACACACCTACACACGCTGGCACACCGACACACACAGAAACGTGCTAATTCGCCCACCTACCCATCCACCGCACCAACAAAACCCTGTCAAGTGTTGAGCATCACAGGGGAAGATGAGAAAGAAATACTGTTCACAGTTCATGTAACTCTGTCGCAGGTTCAGTGCATCTGTCTGTCTGTCTGTGAGATGGTGGCCAGAAGGCTACTGCATAATTACAAGGTGAATGAATCCTTAGACTGCAATGAAGATAGCACATTTAAGACCCTGTTTCACATGCTCACACACTACACGGGTGTAGCAGTGACTGGCTGAACAGAGAACTGGGTGTCACAGGGTGACGGAAATGTCTTTAACTAGCATTTCCAGGTACTGTGTTGTCATTCAGTATCTAAGGTGTGACCTGTCAGTGTTATACTAGCTACAGCTGTAGTCTGCTTAGGTAGTGTGGTAAGTAATCTTACAGTTCTTTGAGTATCCTGGTCCCATAAGGGTTTTGGAAGTGAACTATGGAAGTCCACAACCGTCATTATATATAATACGAAAAGAGATGTGACACACAGAATGTGTTGTTTGTGATAATTGGCTTTAATTGTCAGAATGTATGAGAGTTAGAGTCAGGTGTATAGTACGGTATTTCTGTATTTGAAAAAACACCTGTAAGTCTTGCATGTTATCGTCCTGAAACCCCAGGCCTCATATTACATTACATTTTGGCATACTTTGTTAAACTTTATTGTATTACACTGTGAAATAAACTTGTTGTATCCATATGAGGACATGCTTTTGTTTAAAAAACAATTACTTCCCTTTCAAAGATGACATTCAGTTTTTATATTTATCAGGTCCAACTAACCCCAAATAGCTGGGAAAAATTAAAAATAAATCCCAAAGGAGAAAAGAAAAAGTGTTTTGAATGAAAACACAGAATATTATTAAAGAATCTTGCTCAAAAGCAAATGAAGATACTTGATAAATGTATGGATTTAATGTAAAACGAAAACGAACAATATACTTAATAAAACAAAAGCTGTCCCTAGTGATTTATACACTGGATATATGTTGGCTCATTATAAAATGAACATTTATAATTATCTTATGTGTAAATAGCTTGTGAGGAAAATCACATTAGAGCTGTTGAGCAGATATATTGTGATTTCTTTACTAGAATATAACAAGAAAGTAAATTTGGTTTTAAATTCAGATTCTCAGACTGAATTTGCTCCTTTTATGTAAAAAGCATGTTTTAAACCAGCTCAGGCAGTACCCAGCTTCTTGTGCTATTACAGCTGGGATACACTCGAGCCCACCCTCAACGCTGAACCAGATAAGCATTTAAGAAAAAGAATGGGCAAGTGTTTACAGTAATATTATTTACCTTAGGCTACTTCTCAAAACAAAGAAAAAAATCAAGATAAAACAAATCAGTACACTGAAAGTGAAATAAAATTGCTAATTTCCTTACATTGTGTGGACAGAATAAATACTCAGTTATGTAAGGAAAATGGTTAAAAATGTCAATTGCTTATGTTAGCATACCAAAATGTAAAGACCGAACTATTATATGTATTATCACAGAAACAGAACAAAAAGGCCAGCAAATGATCACAACATCTGGAGCTTGAAAGTTTACAATTAATAATGTTGTCCCTGCTAGAGACACAATAAATGGAATATTATTTTATTAGAGTTGATAAATATATGTATATGATTTATTTATGTATTTTCCTAAAACAAAGATAATTTGGGGAGTCTTCAATGACTAGTCAGTCATTGGTAAGTTCAACACAATACTCTGGCAAAGACAAAAATGCATAATAATTAATTCAGTTAACAATTAACCGACTGCTCATTATGAAATATAATATGTCCACTCCTCCAATTTTCTTCCATCCAGATCGGGGTTGTAACGTAGCTGAAGCCCATCCCAGCTGTCCCACATGCAGTGTTGGGGAGTAACGGAATACATGTACCACCGTTACGTATTTAAAATACAAAACATGAGTAACTGTATTCCGTTACAGTTACCGTTTTAAAAGTTGGTATTCAGAATACAGTTACTTTGTTGAAATTAATGGATTACACGGCGGTATTTTCCTGTTTCATGAACTCCATATTTTTGGAGACAAAACACGCATTAAGAAGCTCTAATGTCTGTGTCTCAACCTTGCGGCCCATGTCACCTCTACTGGCGGCCCGCATAATGATGTGAAGAAATATTTTAAAAGATTATTCACAAAATGATTTAATATGAAGGTAATAAGCAGAGTGTTACAGGCATAGCCCTAAAGAATGTAGCCTCATGGGCAGTGTAGTCCGTGCTGCAGGGAGAATGGACTGCCATACCCGTTATGTGTCTGTGAGCGCGAGGAGGGAGAAAAAGGTGAGTGGAAAAGTACGAGTTATCACCGAGCAGAAACGGGAGATGGAAGCATGTAAATATATAATATATATATGTATATACAAAGTTGACCCAGACAACCAAGTAAAGCTAGTTTTCAGCTACGAGCCCGACACGGAACCCGACGTATTAGCCAGAGGTCCCTTTACTACGGTTCGGAGCCGCGGACCTTTTTTATATACACGCGGAATAGTTTTCTATACGAGATCGCTGCAAAAAGTGCAGCCTTACCTAATGTCAACCTACTGTTACTCATTTATACTAAGAGAAAAAAAAAGATTTAAAAATCTAGTTGGTGTTGGTATGGCGAGTAACCTTCAGTAATAGTAATAAATCACACAGCAATAGTACATTCATGTGGTTGTAAAAGCATGATAATATATTAAGTAATCCAAACTATTCAGAATACGTTACTCTCATTGAGTAACGTAACGGAATACGTTACAAAATACATTTTGGGGCATGTAATCTGTAATCTGTAGTGGAAT